CGAGACGTGTGGCACGTCCGTGGGCCGCCCAATCTCGATCCACTCCTCGTCGCTGTCCTCCTCGTGATCGTCGTCGTCGACACCCACGGCGCCGGTGCTACACCGTCACCAGTGACTCCGCAGCACCCCATGATGGCGCCCACTAGCCCTCCCCCTCCTCCTCCCCTCCCCGACCAGAGCATCATCTAACCATTATTCTGCTACAGAACCTAACCATTTTGAAAAAAATGTTATATTGATTTTTGAGTAAACTCAAGTAATCACAATCTCAACAAATATTTAATTCAAACATCAGGAAGGACAATGTTACTTTACAACATAGTTAAATTGTATGTATCTCGATGGCAACCAAACAATTGACAAGATAACTGCAACAACCGAGCATTTCCAAGAAGCAACAAATATGGCACTAAGTCGACAGGACTTACCAGAGGACATAGATGTCATGAGGATACAGTGACAAACATGGCATACATTAGCGAGTAGAATCACATGCCCCGTGACAGGCAGCAAAGAATCAGACCAGTTTCAATTCTAAATACCCTGCTCAAGGTCATGCAGCACCATCCCCAGCCTATAAGCACTACATATAGAGAAAGCTATCTGATTTTTCATCGATCCATGCCACAAAATCCTAGCGAGCAAGCTATGGAAATGGTCCACATCTGCCTCAGGACATGTTGCCTATAAGCCCATAATTCTGTTTCATGGGATACTCTTCAGTTTTGCTAGAATGGGAGTTGTATTTTCTATTAACAGACATTTATGGTTTTAAATGGAGTTATATCATGACATCCGAGAATATAAGCAAGGTGTCTGCCGTGTTATCAATTACAAAGTAAGAGGCATGTATCCTCCATCACTATAAATGGTGAGTTTGTGGTGTCAGTGCCCCCGCAGCAAACTCTTAACAAATATTGTAACGCTATTTATTAATATTATAAAGTATGTTGATACACATGCCACTGAAATCAGATTGGACTCATGTCTATATCTTTAAACACAGAGTGTCATACAACAGTATTCTGTTTGAGCTTTGAATCAATATCTCTTCTTAGTCGCTTTGGAGATTGAGGTCACATACCAAGCTAACAAATGGCTAATTTATTTACTGTCTTAGCCGATAAGTTCAGCTAGGCTCATGACTTATCTTCATTTTATAACCTAAGATCATTTTCCATACATTCAATCAGGGATAAAGTGCCAAAAATATCAAATTGACATTTCACTCCCCAACCGGACCTTTGAGGTGAAACCATGAAACACACTGGTCAGTTATAGGCTATAAACATTGCCATGGTCGTGGTGAAATACTGAATTGGAAGCCCCAACCTCCCAAACCAAGTGTCAATCCGATGATATTTTGTAAGTTGAGAACTTGAGTATTTTGTAAACTTAAAGTTTGATCACTTGTTTTGGTTGCTCATCCATTGTTGCATATACTACATCCATTCTACGCTAATTGTTACTGTTCAATACTACTTGTAATTATCATTTGTAACTGCAATTGGGTTCTTTAATATACTGATATTCTTTTGGTGGCTACAGTAGTATGGATGTGATGCAAAAGAAGGCAAGTGCTCTTGAAACCGGTAACTTGTGAATTGTGACACCCGATGATGATCATTTCTCATTTAGATATAGCTATAAATTCAGTATATATTTATTCTGTCGACAATTGAGGTGAAATGAAGAATTTTCAAGATTTTTGAGCTGAATGTTTTTTAGGAGGATGCTGGAGCATTCATGATTCAACCCTTACTGAGTGATAGATGGAGCAGCAGTGGTAGTGCCTAAGCGATGGGATTAGGGGAGGATTTTGAGTGATGGGCAGAGCAACCATGGTAGTACCACAGCGGTAGGATTAGGGGAGGACAGGTTTGATGCAGTAGCATTGAGAGCCATTGGTCATCGGTTAAGGAAAAAATGTGATCTGGCCATTGAGCTACTAATGGCAGTTAGGAACGACACAAAAAGGGTGGAGGAGGTTGAAGAAAGGGCTTTGTGTGCGACTATCTTAGGTTATCATGCCCATAATATAAAAAATATGCACCATTTTTGCCATGCATGGTCTGGACACTATACCATGAGTACAATCATTTTCAATTTATGTGGAGGACCAGATATTCAGATTATCAAATAAGTAGAAAAGCACTGAAGCACCCAAAAAGAAATAAGCTTTGTCCTTTTTCTACAATGTGAGATAACATTGCATCCATATATTCGCTACCAGTAAAGCAGATAATCAGTACTCGTCACAGGAAATCTCCAACCAAAAGTTTATCTCCACTCTACCAATTTCAAAAAAGAAAAACCTCACTCAATAGCCTTAAAGAAAATTATACCACAAACCTTGATTGCTGGTTCAACTTCTCTAAGCCTATGCTTGTCCAGATATTTCAATCACGTTATGCAACATCAAGTCAATTCCATATGAGTTCAGTAAGATCTCTTTCAACAACCTTCTCAATTTCCTGCAATGAGTACTGTAGCAGTTCACAAATTGCTAATCCATCATCAAACATAGAAACATATGTAGTCTAAAAGTGAAAAGGAGTACAATTTTTCTACCTTGTTCTTTACAAACAGGAGAATGTATAAACAGGTACTCCATCTCAAATAAATTGGCAACGCATACACTAAAGGTAGCTGTAAACCAAGAAAAATAATATAATTCTTGTTGCATTGGTCCTGTCATTATGACTATTTCTTTTGCCCTATGAGATGAAATCCAAACTGATTTTTTCCACTGCATTTGTAAAAGAACAAAAGTCAATATATATATCACAACCTGATTTGACTTCAATGGTAGTAGTAAAAATAGAGAAACCTGATCTCAATGGTAGTAGTCAATATATACATTAGAGTCCTTCAACTGCAGTTACCAGTAAATAGTACCGATCAAGTACCTGCAAACGCACAATTGAATCAAATAAAGAACCTTTCTGAATATGCATTTATTGTACCAAGAACGAATTGGTCCTGGGATGGGAGCAGATCGGAACCCCGATGCCATTCATCTCCTCTGGCTCCTCCTCCAGCGAGGCAAGGAACAGATCGGAACCCCGAGGCGGACCGAGCCCGCGCACGGATCGATCCAGGGATTGGCGAACTAGGAGAGTAGATCGATCCGTGCACCCTGAGCGGCGCAAACCCTAGCGATGGACAGAGAAACAGGAGGCGAGGGGTGGGAGCTTTACCGGCGCAGGAGTTGGCAACGTCGACGGAGCCATGATGAAGGCTCGCCGCGCCTTAGTGGATCCGTCCCGCCACGCGATGGGCCGTCGTGGCCGCTGCCGCCACGGCTGAAGAGCACTCCGCACGCCGCCTTTAGGAAGCCGCTCGACGGGGCCTGTGGCCGGCGGCCCGGCGTCCTGGGCGGGTGGCCTCGCCTGGTGCCCTGCCTAGGGTTCATCCATGTGGGAGACGAGAGGAGGAGTCTGCGAGTCGCACATGTGGGAGAGGGGGAGGGGAAGACCATGCGCGCGAGGGAGCGCAGAGCCGGGTCCACCGCACGGACGAGCGAAAGAGGGAGGTGACGGGCGCGTGGGATCGCACAGGGGGAGAGGCAGACCCAAAACAAATGTCGCACTAAAAAGTGTCCATGCTTTGTTCTTTTTAGTTGTAAGAGATATGTAGCTTCTACAAACCAATATAACAAATATAGAGCACATATTTTTTTATCTGATCTTACGTAGCACCTCGGGGCTACCGGTAAAAGAGGAGTGTTGGGAATCCCTCCTATCACCTGACGTACCACTGGCTTAATACACACTCTATGAGCACCACCGCCAGGTGGGCCCAATGCTTGTCGGCACCTTGGGACCTCCGGTTAGTGGGGACTGAGTTGCGATGGCATGAGTCCACTTGTACGAAACAAGCGGAGAATGGGGGGAGAAAATGGTGATTTTGCCATTATGAAATGTGGGCTTCGCTGTTTTGCTATTCAACAGAAGGGATTCACTATTTTGCCATTATCAAACCGAACACAGCCACTAGAATGCCATTTGACCGATTTATTGTCCAATTTAATTATTATTTTATTCTCTCCATACTTTCATTCCTGTTTTATCCCTCCTTTCTTCCTGTTCACGTAGAGAGAGACCGCCGCCCGTCGGAAAAAAAACGCCGCCGCCGTTTCTTCGACGTTGCCGGACCACTGCCGACGCTGCTCCAGGAGGACGGTGCGACCACCTCGACGTCCGGCCGCCGCCGCGGCCGACTCTACGCTAGCCAGTCACGGCCGACACGATGCGAGTTCGCCATGGCGCCAGGACCAACGCCAGATCTGCGAGCTGCTGTTCCTACCCGTCGCTGGCCACCCACACGAGCTGCTGCTCTTGCCTGTCGCTGGCCGCCCACGAGACCTACTGCTCCTGCCCGCCGTTTGGTCCACGCGAGCTGTTGCTGCCATGGCGCCAGGACCAACGCCAGATCTGCTCGCTGGCTACGGCCGGCTGCGAAGCTTGGCTGGCTGCCGGCAACAGCCGAGGAGGTGGGCTGCCGGCGACGGCCACGACAGACGAGCCTTTCCCTCTCCTCACGTCCTGTATTCGTCTCATCTCTCTTGTTCTTTTTTTTCGACTTCTTATCTCTCTTGTTTGTGCTCTCCGTGAAAAGGGACAGAAGAAAGGAAGGGCTTTAGTGCTCTCGTCAGTGAGGAAGAAATGAAGGGATAAGAGCAGGAGTAAATCGGGAACTAAAGGATTGAGAGAATAAAAGAATAATTAAATTTGATAATAAATCAGTAAAATAATATTCTAGCGGTTTTGTCCAGTTTAATAATGACAAAACAACGAATCTCTTTTACGGCAAAACAGCCGAACCCACGTTTCATATTGCCAAAATCACCATTTTCTCGAATGGGAGACGACGTGGTCACGCAGAGGAGAGTTTAGCGAAGGGCTTTTTAAAAAGAAAGGGGGAAAATTAGGGCGAGAGAAAAAAAAAACCAGCGAAGAGGGAGCGGGAGATCGAAACCCTAGGCGCGGTCAGCGGCGATGGCGGCGGCGGCAGCTGCAGCGCCGGAGTCGTACATCGGGAGCCTGATAAGCCTCATGTCCAAGAGCGAGATCCGGTACGAGGGAGTCCTGTACACCATCAACACCGAGGAGTCCAGCATCGGGCTCAGAAACGGTAGGAGGCCATAGTGCCTATCCGCTCTCGCTCTCTTCTCGTCCTAGGTGGTTTTGTATTCTGTTGGTGGAGGAGGATAGTTGTGCGACCATGCGTCAGGGTTACGATTCACTCGTATTTAATATGTCTATTATTATATGTTAGGTTGTGAATTTTCCTTTACACGATCCTCTTTGTTAGGTTCTCAGTCTGTTTTCTCCTTCACAATTTTCAGTTATTTCTTAAAGACTTGAACCAGACTGCCTGTTAATACTTAATGCTTCTGTGAGATTTCACTGAAATGTGGCGCAAATATGAGTTGGGTATGCAAAGTTGCTGCTTTGCTAAGGTTCCAGCCCCCTTGTTGCTCAGATGCTCAAATCTTGTTATCTTGCACTGTGTGTTTTCTGCTTCCCTGGAAAAACAGCATGATAAGATAGGCTGTAGATTGAAACTTGGCACAAGGTGAGGTGGTTACGGGATGGTCCATGTCCTAAACACTTTACAAGCAAGGGCTGTACATTAGTGAGCTATGGAAAGCCCTTTCAGTTTTGTCCATTTGGAGTAATCCTCCACTTGCTGACTGTAACGTTGGAAATGTGAATTATTGAGTTTTCTGAGGCCTAGAGCGAAACTAAAACTCGGGGCCCCTTGATATAATAAGCACTCATGATCAAGGTTCCAAAAAGTGCTACGCACTCCAAGCCACTGCCTAGCACCTAGGAAGATTAAGCGTAGATTAAACACGAGATAGCGTCTGTGTTTTTTTTTTATTCATCTTTTTGCTGCTGGGAGCAAGATGAGGAAGTGCCAGTCAGGAGCCTAGATACAAAACAAAGGTACCCATGCAATCAAGGCAGGCTGGGTGGCTGGCAGAGCAAAATCATTGTCTGTGCAATGAAAAGCATACAAGGGAGCACACAAACATTTGATTCATCGCTTGTAAGGATAGAGTTGCCTAGCAATGGGTGGATTAGTGTCACTAATTCACAGGTTCATATGTACATTTGTCAGGTTCTTAGAACTACACATTCAGAGCATTGCAAGTTCACCAGGTCCAGAGCATTACAGGTTTGCACTTCAGAACATCACATGTGAAGAGAATGTGAAGAAAAATGTCAAATCCACAACACACCAAGGCTGAGATGGCCAAATCGGATCAAGACATCAAGATCAATTTGATTTCATGCAGATTGGATGAGAAGTCAAGAATGGGAAGTGTGGAACTCACCTGAGAAGCATGGGAACGCGTGGAAAATGACCCGTCTGAGGAGCCACGGAGGCGAAGGGGTTGGTGGAGGGAGGGGGGGGGACTCACTCTGTTCACTATAATCTCCCTACAGTCAATTATAGCTCACTCCGCTCGTCTAGTACTCGCTACGCTTCGGTCTAAACAACCTTACCCTTTCCGTCAATTATAGCTATTGCCTAAGAAAATACCTAGCAATCGACTTTCCACCCAAGAGGGAAGTTGATGGGGATTTTCATAAGCTGATTGAGTTGAACTGACCATTTTATTTATTCCCGAAGGCAGGGTTAAATGCACCAGATTTTTCTCAATCATAGCTAGCTTGATGTTCAGGTATGCATATGCTTTGCCTTGCTCAAGGGTGATGATCAAGTCAAGCATATTTTATTTAGACTTGTCACAATACCAGCCCGAACTGATATCACGATATGTTTATTTTTGGGATATTATTGTTGAAGTATATTATATTGCCCTTTGGTGGGTTGTGGTGGTGTCTGGTTCTCCTCACATTCGGAGAAGGAATGACGGCGGCGCTAGGGCTGATGGTGAGGAATTTGGGTTCCTTTTGATAACCTAGCTTCCAGCCCATTATCCTTATCTACTCGCAACTTTTGGTGCTCCCCTGTCCCAAAATTCCAACTGTGCTTGCACGTGCTCTCTCTCCCACACCTTGCTTTTAGGTTTTTCTGTGTTTCAGCGCATGCGCTCGTTCCCACCTGGCCACCCCTGCTTGCGGCAGGTGACTTGCTATCGGTTTGATGCTGTCCAGCATTTAAAGCAGGGCCTAAACGACGCGCTAGTGTTTAATTGGCCATGCAGGGACTAAACGACACTCTGGGATCTGATCGTCGCTTAATCGCGTCCTAATTGTGCATTTAGTTACGTTTTTTTTAACACTGCTCATGATTGCAACTTGTAATGACTAATGCAACCGAGTATAGAGTACTGACCGATGATTAGTCTTTAGGCTAATGGATAACCATTTGTTAGACAATTCACAAAAATCACAATTTTGATCAACTCGTGTATGGCTGTGCGGTCCATTCCCTAACGAATGGATTCGATTCTCAATTTAGAATTTAGAAACTACACTAAGGGGGAAGGGAACCTACGGTGGTTTCTTCAGCCTTGTGGGCTAGTGCCTAAGCTCTCCTACGTGAGTCATGCTCCATGGAGTCAGCTAATGGTGGATCAAGGTGATCGGTGAGTTGTAGTGCGGCTTGCTTCGTGCGGCGTGGCTCAGGCAACATCAATTAGTGATGCGTCTCGGTGCTTGGCTGCTACCTTTTTGAGTTTTGGTGCTTTTTGGGGCCATATATACAAATGCTAGCACTACATATATTATTACATACCTGGAAGGGGTGGCCTTTGTTTCGGGGGGCTGGAGCAGCCACCCCTCTGCTCTACACTTAGGACTGGCCCTGGGGCTAGAGTGGCCACCCCTCTGGCCCACCCCCAGGACCGGCCCTGGAATTATCCGTGCTTTTCCATACTCATGTCTGGCTAAAATTGTAAGCTAAAAGGGTCTTGGGACCTTACTCAACTTTGGAATGTCTAGTCACAGCAAAGTCGAGAATGGCATGGCTTCAAGGGTCCCATTGTGTTTTGTTACCAAAACTGGGAATTACTTGACACCTGTTTTAGTGTGGACAAGAAGGGTAGATCTTATTTTTAGGCCTAAATACTTGAGTTCCAATATATATTCCTTGTTGGAGATGTTTATGCCACTTAATGTTTTTTTGTATCGTGTGCTTGTTTAAACACAGCTAATCTTCCGTGGTCAACATGTCAACTGACTTGCTCCTCTTTTGTAGAGGCTAACAGGCAAATGGTCCCTTTTAGGCATTGGGGATGTGTCTACATTTTTTATTTTTACCACCCTTAGTATAGTCGAATCAGTGAGAATTCAAAGTTACACAAAGTGTACCTGCCTTTTTTCATAGAGCAAATAGTAATCTTTGAATGTTATATTAATATAATAACTGGGTCCTATATTTATTTAGCAAGTGTCTGCTTGCTCCTTTTTTTTAGTTTAAGTAATATCCTTATCTATTATTAGCGTATTTGAGTATCTATTCTTTTTAAAACCGTTTCATTTATAGATAGAAGGTAGCTATCTAGCCTGCCTAGATGGTCATCGAAACCAATTAACTTTTAGGGATCCCCCTGTCTAGACTTTAGACGAGTTAGTATATGAAGCCTGATTAATGCCTTTTTTGGTCAATGTTCTGGTTATTGCACTGCTACATGGCCATTAGCTGATTTGTTTATTTTGAAATTGTAAGATTGAAGGGCTTTTGTTGTTCATCGATCTCAAATCCACTGTACTTTTGATTTATGTTTGCTGTATAATGTCAACTAGTAGTTCTCCACAGTGGGAGTTTACAGCAACTTACATTTGTTTCATTTGTCCTTGAAGACAACAAGATGCCTTAAACATTTTTTCTTGCAGCTTTCATTAAAAGACACCTGAAGCTTACCCCTATAGTTCTTTCAGCTCAAAAAAGTTATTTGTTGTTTTTTGTCCATTCTGATTATATTAACAGGTCACTCTTTTATGTACCTTGGTGCAGTTCGCTCATTTGGAACTGAAGGTCGTAAGAAGGATGGCCAACAGATTCCTGCCAGCGACAAGATATATGAGTACATACTCTTTCGAGGAAGTGATATAAAGGTAATTGTATTAAAATAGAAAATATACCATGTGTAGAACTTATCCGTTGCGAGCCTCCTCCCGGCGCGCTCTCCGCTTCCGCTGCCACCCGTCATCCCTCCCTCAGGCAGCGTGGCCCTGGATCTGGGGGCATGCTGCCTATCCTCCGCCTACCCCCTTAGGCGAGGCAGTGCCCCTCCGCCTAGCATTTAAACGCGTCTAGGCGAGCGCCTTGTGGAACACTGAATAATCTAGGTTGTTTGGATCCCTAGATTATAGGTGCTAAACTATAGGATTTGGTCTCATGAGCACATATAATCTCCTATTGGTAGGTTTGAGAAGGACTTTAGGATTACAATAATCTGTTGATTGGATTATTATTGTCCAACCATAAGAGATCATTTGCCAAAGGGCGCCTAGCTCAAACGGTTAGGTGACCCAGCGGCACTCCTTAGGTCCTGGGTTCGACTCCCCGTGGGAGCGAATTTCAGGCTGAGGTTAAAAAAATCCCCTCGTCCGTCCCCATAACCAAAGCACTGGGGGGGCACCGGCCCAATTCTCACTTGGGCGACGGAAAGCCACTGTGTAAGGGTGGGGGTGGGGGTTCGGGGGTTTTCTCGGCCGGGTGAGAAGGTCCTTCTTCTTATTTGAAATGCTGCGGGGGCAGTCTTAACCCCCCCGGTCGAGTTTTTTTTTATAAGAGATCATTTATCTGATTACTATAATCCAAAGGTTATCCAAACAGGCTAGATGTGCCACCGTTGATTTCCATATCTTATTAGTTATTATTCCTTGTGCTATTCAGTATGGTAAACTTCATTGTCCATTTTAATCATGTAATTAGTCAGCGGCTTAGAGCGCAGATGGTTTCATAAATCACATCATGTTTAGATGCAGCAACTGGAAGTGCTAGAAAAACAAATTGACTATTCCAAGCTCCTGAATCAGGCAACTCCCTGGTTCGCTGTGGAGCAAAGCCTTTGCTGATGCAGTATAGCTTGCTGGATAAGGGTATTGAAGGAAAATTTTGGAGGGTGCAATTGTGTCCATAAAGATGTTTGTCTGCGATGGGCTCTAGTTAGGTTTTGTTTTTCTTTTGAATCTAAATCAGGAGTGTGTGTCACGTCATGAATCGTGATTCTAATAAGTATTGTAAGAACTTACCTCCATTTTATATGGTTTTACTTAACTGATTATATCTATCATGAAGTACATATGATTTGTGATATCCTATTGTACATATTGAGGTCCTAACAGCTTTGTTCATAAGCATCCCCAAAACCATAGTGATTGATTATCTGAGTCAGTTGCCTTAAATTCGTTTATTTTTTCGTTGCTGATTCACTGTTTCCGTTGATCCACCCATATACTTTTCCCATTGTTCATTTGCTTTTCCGATACTTCTATCATAATCTTCCCAATAGTATCTTAGCCTTACCTTTTACTGCAGGATTTGCAAGTCAAATCCTCTCCACCATCTCAGTCAGCAACTTTACACAATGATCCTGCTATTATTCAGGTAATCTTTTGTTACTCCAGTACTTGAATTTAAATCCTTTTGTGTGAAGTATGAGAGGTGGCTCACTGTTATTATTCTTTTTTTTGCAGTCACATTATCCTCATCCAGCTTCACTGTCTACAAGCTTGCCTTCTGCTGCAAGCACAACAGCAGTTAATCCTACTTCACACAATGCTCCATCCATGATTCAGATGCCACCACCATTTCAAGGGAATTTGCCCCCTTACCAATCTGGCACCAGCTTACAGTCATGGAACTCGTCACCTATGCCATCATCAGTGAATGGCACTGGCCTTACAATGCCACCAATGTACTGGCCAGGATATTACACACCACCAACTGGGTTTCCTCATCTGCAGCCGCCACCCTTTCTTAGGCCACCACACAGTTTGGCTGTTCCACAGGTCCTGCAGCTTCCTGTACAATATCCTGGACTTGGATCTTTACCTGCTGGATTTCCAAGTTTGCCAGAGCTTCCTTCTTTTCTTCAACCTGGTAATAGTAATAGTTTAAGTCAAACTTCAGGTGTACCTACATCTGTGTCAGTACCTGCTTCATTGAGTACATCAGAAACTGAATCATCAAGAAGCCAACTGCCAAATAAGTGGTCATCTGATTCTGCTTCTGTAGTGTCTGTGGGTTTTACTCCTCCATCTGTGACTCCTTCAGTTTCGACAGATGAACCCTCAATGCCTGTGTCACAGGTCTTGCCTTCTCTGGTGAACAGTAAGCCAGTAGCTCTACCTAACTCCACCGGGCCCTCTCTCTCCACTGATAAGCCTGTGATTGTACCTGATGCTTCAGTGCCTACCTATCTATCATCATCTCAGCCACCATCTTCTAATGATGCAACTCTAGTCAATGTTGCGGAGCAAGTTCCATTGGTAACTCCTGGGCAACTTCTGTCAACTACTTCCTCTACAATTGTATCATCTCATGCCTTGCAAACTTCTGCTGTGGTTCTATCCTCTAAGGCTGCCCCCTCTACGGTTCCATCCTCTCAGGCTACATTGTCTGTAGCTTCACCCACACAGGTTGCTTCCTCTTCTGTTTTGTCGCAACAGGTGGAAGTGACCAGTGAAAGTAAGCGAGCCAAGCAGCGTGAGTGGAAGGCAAAACAACCTGTGGTTGCTACACCTGGAAATAAGGAGCCCATATTGCCTGCGCCAAAGCCCGTGCTTCAAAAGGTACTGGAGTATATCTACTCCATAAGGCTCAACTTAATCTGCATACTTTGTGATCACTTCCCTTCTCATTCATCTAATTCTTTTGGTTTCAGCCTGTAGCAGTTTCCTCGTATGTCCAGTACAACAATAGAGGCCGGGGAAGAGGAAGAGGCCGCGGAAGAGGAAATGGGGTATGCTTATCTGAAAACATGTTTTATCCTACTAACTTTGAAAATCTAGAAATTTTTGAGATGTGAGGTTGCTCCGTTTATATTCTTGTGTTGCGTTATTGTCACTCAAAGAAAAGGCCATTTCTGATTTCACATCCTTAGAGAAAGCACTATCAATAAGTTTGGTCCTCTTGACTACTTTGTTTTTGGTATTTTTAGCATTCTTTTGTAGCCTGAATACCTTGTGCAAGTATAATGTAAAAAACTACTCCCTTCATCCCAAATTATAAGACATTTTTGGCTTTTTTAGATACATGGCTTTTGCTATGCACTGTATAGATACATAGTTAAAACAATGTATCTAGAAATACCAAAACGTTCTATAATTTGTAATGGAGGGAGTACAACATAGCTGGACCCTGTTCTGATCAATGTTATTCTTGTTTGGTTGGCCTGTTGGGGGCTCCCTGTTATTAGACTTTTCCTAATTTTGGGCTGCAAGATTTTGCAGTGTACTATCCTAGTATTTTTTTTTCATAAAATGTCTTCAAAAAGTATTTTGTATGTTTGTGTCAAACTGTCAACCATGTGTTAATCAAAGTTATCAGTTTATAAACAAACCATGTCATCTTTTAGTGCCATAAAGTAGTTACAATTGTACTGTGAAATGCATATGCGTTTACTAGCATGATGATGCGTCTTAAAATGCCTCTGTTCTGTTTTCAGCCCCTTGAGGACATTCTTTAGAGTCTGCTTTGCTTTTTTATTAGATTGTAGTATTCACTGTCATTCTCTCTACAGCAATCACATCCCATAACCAAGTTCACAGAGGACTTCGATTTCATGGCAATGAATGAGAAGTTCAACAAAGATGAAGTTTGGGGCCATCTTGGTAAAAGCATAGGGCAGTTAAATGATGAACCAAATGGTTACGAAGATGATGTTCTAGAAGATGATGAGATATCTCCTAGAAAGCCAGAAGCTAAGGTATGAGTTCTGTTGGATTGCTTGTCGTGATTTACTATTCAGTATGTTGGATGCTGATTAACCATTTCTCTTGTGCCTGAAAAGCCTGTGTATGTTAAAGATGACTTCTTTGATTCACTCTCGTGCAACACAATTGACAATGGAGGGAGGAATGGAAGAGTGAAATTCTCCGAGCAGAGGAAAATAGACACCGAGGTATTGACAGACATTGAATCTTTACCTTTCCATATCACCTTAGCATTCAGTGCATATGATAATTTATTTTGGCTGTAGACCTTTGGTAACTCAGCAAGGCATCGACCAATGGGCATCCGAGGTAGGGCCCCCCGTGGTGGGGGTGGTGGCCCTCGTGGTCGTGGCTATTATGGTAGAGGATATGGATATATGGGTAGGGGCCGTGGCTACTCTTACCCAAATCACCAGTCGTGATACCTCGGTGTCTGGAAGCACAGTGAATGTCAATGGCAAATTGGCCAATTTGCGTAGTAAACTGAGATGTATCGCAGATTACAGTGCTGCTGTTGTAAGTGCCTATTAGAGGTTCCTTTTCTTCTGCTATAGATAAAATGCCTTAATAGTTTGTTTACTGATGTGACAATTCAAGAATCAGTGTCAGTTTTATTGATGGTAGATTGGAGTAGAAGCTTTCGCATCTGTATCTTTCTTGTCAGTGTCGATGGTCATTTATTTATTTCCTTTTGGAGGTAGAAGCTGTTAGCAGACTAGTAGACGTGACATAGATCTGTCCAGTACCAACACAATAGAGTTCAGGTAGGAAAAGGGATAGAGTTCAGGCACTAGTACTGACGATCTGAAACAAGAAAGGGGGGGGGGGGGTGGAGAGTTCAGCGTAGGGAAGCAAGCAGGGGAAATCGATATAAAAGTTGGAACGCAAACAAAGGATGATACACGAGACTGGAGCAGCAGGTACACGAGAGTGAGTGGATCGGTAGAGGAAGAACATTAGTACTTTAATTTTAAATTATAAGTTATTTTGACTTTTCTAGATATATAGCTTTAGCTGTGTATTTAGATATAAATATGTCTAGATATATAGTAAAATTATTGTTTTTTGAAAAGCTAATACGTCTTAAATCAAAGGAGATACAATTCCTACGCATTGGGAAGTTGTTCGCCAAAGCACATTAGGATTGTGATAATGTCATCTCCACTTTAATACTAATAAGAGGATTAGTGCACGGTACTATCCAGCAGTCCAGGGCAAAGGTACTTCCAACTGCTCCTGACCGCCCCTTGATTTTAACCTTTCAAAAAAGATTCACTAATTTAAAGAAAAAACAAAAAAGAAATTCCATTGAATTGTATTTTTATCGATCAATTAGAATTGTCTTCTTGAACTAGAGAGAGTCAACCTGTTTGCTTGTTGATTTCAGTCAGGGTTTATCAGCCAGTTAACGGTGTTTTCTTCTCATAATAAATCAGCACCAACCAGGCTTATTAAGTCCAGAAACCAACCAGTGAATAGGCTCAGGATGAGATAGACGTGTTACGATATGATTTATAAACTATTGAAGTATCCTGTAAAAACCCAAAAGTCAGTTCCAGTTTTCAACCTTCGATGACGACCCTCGGAGAAATTCCCAATGTGATATCTTCAGGACTTTAAGTGAATCCTCAATTGATTTTGAGCACTCTCAGTTGGTTAGTGCTACATTCCATGGCTCAAACAAGCTAAAGCTAAGCAAGTCAACCTTTGGTCAACCAAAGTCAACCAAGAGTTTGCATCAAGCTCAAAGAGCACGTAGCAAACCATAATGAAAATATCAATATATGGAATTAAAGATTTTTTTTGTGAATTAGTATTGTTTTCTTTTCTTTGCTTTCATGTGATGCTTCGTATATTGTAGTAAAATAAAATAAGCTTGTAAGGAAACTGAGTACAACATCCATTCAGAATGGAGAGTGTGTCTACTATACAACCATGTGTTTTATGCAGTTTTAACATATGTTTTTTTTCACCATAGGATTAAGATCCAACAGCCTTCACCCTTCTTCTACCTCTAGCCTCCAGCCTCCACAGATCATAAATTTTTTTTTCTATAGAATGACAAATCATAGATCCGCCGCCGCTGCCGCCATGGCCGGCGCGGGCGCGGGCGCCGCCGCCGCCGCCGCCGCCCGCCATGGCCGGCGTGGGCGCCGGGGCGAGCTCGCCGGTCGCCGGCGCCGGCGCCGGTGGTCACCGGTGAGAAAGAGAGAGGGGGAGAGAGAAAAAAAAAAATCCATGTGTTTTTTTTTACTCAAACGTATGTGTGTTGTATAGCATTTCTGTTGAGGACAAGGAGAATGCTCCCATGTTGCTGTAACTGAACTGTAGTTTTGACTTAAGAAAATATTTCAAGCCGTCATGTTATCAACACTCTGTTCACTGGTTGGTTTCTGGACTGATAAACCTGAGTGCTGCTGATTCAAGCGAACAGGCTGGAAATCAGATAGCTTTCCACCTCCTGACGGAACGGATTCGATCTGCGTCGGAGATGCGGGTACCTGGCCAGAGGGCGGCGGCAGCGGTCGGCCATGAGGCGACTCCGAGGTCCGAGACCCAGCTTGCTCTCCTCTCTCCGCTGCGTTCAAGTCGGCACGGTGGCCAACGATTGGTGTGGGCCGTATTCTTTTGGGCCCGCAGATTTCGACAAGTCAGATGAGCTCTGAAGCTAAAGCCCCGCCGCCCTAACTTCTCTCTCTTCCTTCTACCGCCGCCGGCGCCACTCGCCCACCGCGCCGGAACGCCATGGTGGTCTCCCGCTTACTAGCGAGCCTCTCCCCATCCCGCCTCCGCGCCCCCTCGCACGCCCCTCTCGTCCTCCTCCACCGCCTCCTCTCCTCTTACGCCGCCGATGCGTCCTCTTCTACCTCCTCCGCCGCGGAGGACTACCTCGTATCCCGCTGCGGCCTCACCCAGGCGCAGGCGCTCAAGGTCGCCGCGAAGCTCTCCCACCTCCGGTCTCAGGCCAAGCCCGAAGCCGTGCTCGCCTTCATCGATAGCACCCTCGGCATCCCCGCCACCGACATCGCCAGGGTCGTCGTCTTTGACCCGACATTCCTCTGCGCCGACGTGGAGAAGAGCCTTGCCCGCCGCGTTGCCGAGCTTCGCGACCTCGGCCTATCACGGGATGAGATCGCGCGCCTCGTTACCCTCGCCCCCCAACTCCTTCCGGAACAGATCCCTCCGCAGCAATCTCGAGTTCTGGCTTGCCGAGCTAGGGTCCTTCGACAAGCTCGTGCAGTCTCTTAGGTCGTCCTCCGGCTTTCTCAGCATTGGTATCGATACGGTTGCCAGGCCCAACGTGTCCTTGCTCCGGCAATGCGGTATGAACATTTCTGAGATTGTTGGCAACAATATGTACTCCAATCGGCTGATCATTTTGAAGCCGGACCTTGTCAAGGATGCTGTCAAGCGAGTGGAGGAGTTGGGCTTCAAGCGTGGATCAGTGATGTTCCGCCGCGCGCTTACTTTCGTTGCTTATATGGACAAGGAGCTTATCGCCAGGAAAATGCAGCTGTTACAAAACCTTGGGTTCTCAAAGGCTGATGCACTGGCAGTGGTGAGGAAGCAACCTTTCATCCTGGGCTTGTCTGAGCAAAAGGTTAGGGGAAATGTCGATTTCTTGATGAAGGATGTCGGTCTGGAGGTATCATATATTGTGCGAAGGCCAGTGCTGCTCATGTATAGTATTGAGCGGCGGTTGTTACCCCGACATTGCTTGCTCAAGGCTCTCAGGGAGAAGGGACTTCTGAAGGATGAGCGGGACTTTTATACCACTGCTTCGATGAGTGAGAAGATCTTTGCAGAAAAGTTTGTGCATCCTTTCAAAAATCTTGTCCCAGGCCTCACCGATGACTATGCCTCCAAATGTCTGGGAAAGGCAACGGGTGGAATTAGGCAGCCAGAAGACTGAAATGGATCTTGCTGAGGCTTGTAGTGGAAAGCACAAATAGGTACTTTTTCAAATTTGCCATCTGTGCAAATATTGCTTTCTTCACCATTTAGTTGTTGATTCATATGATTCTACCTACTTACTTTGTAATCAATTTCATTTTTTAATCACATACAATGGGTGTATGCTGCACTTCAAATGCTCAAATGGTAAACTAAGTGCTCGCCTCATGTGTTAGACATAAGAAAGATGAACACTTATTGTTTACATGGTTTAGTTGTGTTGTTACTTTTCTAGTTATTAGAGCATCTCCAATAGTTCCCCAAAAAATGGTAAATCAATGAGTTTTCCGAGTGGCTAAAAAAAGTTGAGAGCATATTTGTTGGGTTCCTCCAACGGTTTCTAAAATCCCGGTCCTAAAATATAGAAGACAAACTATTTCTAAATCATCCTAACCACTTTATATTTTCTTTCTCTCTTATTTATTTGCATTAGGAACCCTATCGTACTCTTTATTGTTCCCCACGTCCTTTCACCTCTAGATTGGCTGATGGATGCGCGCGCGTATATATCCACGCGATTAAGTAGAGTTTTCTATGTGCAGATAGATTGGGAGTTGAGATAGGGAGTTGTTGGAGAGCAGTTTTTTTTTAAATCTTGCCAAAAAATCTAGATTGGGAGTGGCTTTTAGAAACTCTTGGAGATTATCGTAGAGACCAGAGTCTTGGAGCTAACTCCGCTTATGGTGGGGCGCCTTTGGTGTCCCAGCATAGCAGGTCCCAAGTCCTGGTAAAGGAGGAGGGTTGTGTTAGGCGTGGCGAGCCAATGTAAAAACTTAGCCACTTTAATGGAGATGAAACCCAAAAGAATCCTGTTGGGGCGTAGTCTTGGAGCTAATGTAGGGTCTGCTCAAGGAAACTTTGTGTGTTTGGGATCTTCGTGCTCCATGGTTAGACCCTTTAAGGGGCCCAACAGTTTGGACTTGGGTAGGTTGAAAAAAGACATCCAACCATGGCTAGAACGACCCATGCCTTTTAGGCTCTTTAAATTCCGTGGGTGGCATAGCTACTGAGATCAATGTAGTGGAGCGGTGCAAATAATCCATGCAGCTTCAAGTTCTCTTTGTTAACGGAATTTGAATGGTTGAGGCGCCCAACTCATAATTGGTCAATTTGCAGGTTCAATATCTGCTGGGAGTAGTAATGTTTCACAATGAAAGGAAGACATGGTAAGCTGGATCGCACATCAGTTGGGATACTTATCTTTGAGAGTGCAGTACGAGATAGAGGTTGTGTCTGTATCAACGATTTCTACTGAAGGCGGTAAGATTGTGTCATATCATTGATTTCTACTGAAGGCAGTAAGATTATATCTTGAGCCGTTATGTTATGTACTTATGTATCTATGAGCTTTGACGAAAATTGATGCATGAAGCTCTATCCTAGATTTCTGTAATATGTGGAATATGGTTTTCCTTTGGTGCAAATCCAATAATCTAGATTGGAAGAAACGAGCAATCCCATACCCCACTACTTGACAGGGCATATCTGCTGTTTTGTTGTCTTATAGAAAGTGAACTGCAGCTCCTTCTCTCAGTCATGTAAGGTGGTGCAGTTGCAAAATCTGCACAATTTCCTCTTCACATTTTTTCTTTGAAGAATAAGGATGTAGGTCAAATGGGAAAGCCTGCCGTAGGGTAGGTACCTATACATTCATGGTAGTTTATGATTATGTTCATATAGTCCTGCATATAAATTAACAAAAGACAAACGGGTGAGTTGTACAGTTCATATAATTAGCTTGGTAATATATAGTTCTCCCAACAGATTTAACGCTGACTGAATCCGTCGCAGCAGTATAGTGGTCCAGATCTGCAGTGCTGGTTGGCATCCTGCCAGGATGCCATAACATGCAAGCACTGTTCGCCTAAAGGGCCGTTTAGCCCGTTTACACACCGTTTAAACGCTACACGGTGGTACACCGTTTCCGTTTAATCGGTTGTTTTGACTGTTTAAACGGCCGTTTTCCCCGTTTAAACACCCGTTTTGCCCAAATAATGGGCTAAACGGTAGGTGACCGACTGTTTACCGTTTAGTGTTTAGGATAACACTGCATGCAAGTTATTTCTAATTGCTGAAGAGGTTTTTAATTCACTAACAGGCAAGTTATCTTGTGTTTTCTTCTGAATGTGCACCATGAGAAAACCTTGCATTTGAGTGGGCTTGTAGCTTGTTGCTCTACTTTGTAAAATTTAGCTTATGTTATGTTGTACCCAAAAAAATTAGGTTTGTTCCTCTTAGAAAAAGAGCTCCTTTCTGTGGTAACCATACAACAAAATGGCCTCTAGCTGAGTTGGTTAGGTGGCTTGAGTAGCACACCTCACGTCCTAGGCTCGACTTCATGTGGGAGCGAATTTCAAGTTGTTAAAAAATTTCTCTCGTTTGTCCCATGCCAAAGCACAAGTCTAAGGCTAGACCCCGGTCATGGTCGTTCTCACATGAGCTATGGTGCCAGCGATACTACGCCTTGAGCAGAAATGACTTTGTCTCAATAACAGAGTGGTCACCGTATGATCCGGTGCGTCTGTATGGCATTTGGCGGATCATTCGGTGAGGCTTAGTCCTTGGCTATGGCCAAGTGTCCCTCCCACTGATGTGCGTCGTATGATCTGGCGTGCCTCCATGGCACTTGGTGGATTGTCCGGTGAGTTCAACTTGACTTAGTGATAAATTGATCAGATTACTAGTGTGCACCGCATGATCCGGTGGCGACCTCGTGACTCCCTTGCTGACCATTCGGTGGGCCTAGGTTGACTATGTGACAAGTTTGGCCAACTCCCTGTGCTGCATTGTATGTTCCGGTGTGACTATGTGACAAACTGATGGACCATAAGCTCATTCAATCACTCGCAATAGGCTTACTCCATCGTGGCTAGAGCTTGCTGGGTCTGAGAAACAAGAAGGGTACTGTTTTACTGTACCAGTCTGGTACATGTTCTTAAACTGGCCACAGAAACCAGATACAGATCTGTCTTCAAACCTTTGTACAGTGCTCCCACTAAGTTAAGCTAAGGTCTTGTACCATGCTCTAATTGGAACCTATAACACCAATTATATTATATGCTTCACCTTCCAGATTCATTGAGGCCAGCTCAGTTCTTCAATTGCAGCTATATTCCCAACTAATCATTGTGGGAGACTGGCGAGCACCAACATATGATCTGGCATCGGCAATGGTGGCCGACGGTTCATCCGGTGATGTCAGCTTCTGTTAGCTTTTTCTAATGGCTAGTAGCCCCTTCACCCTCCATATAAGTGCAACCTCTAGCTTATTGGAGCTGCTCTTCCACCCCATTATTCTTGCCACCACTTATAGAGAGGATTATGAAGCTATTGGAGATCCATCCAAGCGAAGAAGTGAGATTTTAGTGTTATCCTTGAGTACTACCTGTGTTCTTGCTTGGATTTCTTTGAGTTGGAGCTGAAGACTTGTTACCTTTAGTGATTACCATCACCTAGGTGGCCCGACAGAGGACTTGGTGACCTTCCTCAGTGGAGTTCTTATTGAGGAGGCTCAAATTGGTATACATGGTTTGAAACTTACCATTCCGGATTGGAGAATGGGTATTCATGAGGTGAAGTGGAGCTTAACCGAGTCTTGGTGGCTATTTGGTCCTCCAACATGGACTAGGGGTTGTCGAAACAACCTGACACCACGGGAAAAAAATTTGCTTGCCTCTTTGCCTCTTTTTTGATTCTTGTATTATTTCTTGCCATGCTCATTTGTGTGAAAATTATTTTGAGTGCATCTAGGATTGCACTGTAGACTGCTTAGCATTGTTTCAATTCTTGCTCTTAAGGACCTATAACTATGTGTGATCTTTTGCTTAAGATTTCATTAGGTATGATGGCCCAAAGAACTTCTTAGATTGCTTTTGTAGAAGAATTTAGGTGTTAAGGTGCTAAGGGGGGTTTAGAATTTGCATAGGAAAAGATTGTTGCTTTAACTTTTACCATGCACTCATGAACTTTGATTTTGAAACTAATGAATCAGAGTGTGAAACATTGTACTTTATATTACAAAAATTGATAGCACATAAGGTTTCATATCGATTGGCGTTGGCTGAATGTACCATGTTAGTTTGGCCTTGATAATTGTTCATTGGAACGTGAAATTGTTGCATTGCTGATGTATGAGGATCATATGTGTATGTTGCTATTTGCTAGCATTATTAAAGTTCAAATCATGTGTATTACTTGACGAAGGCTTTTGAATATAATTTCATAATTTGCATATCCATTACTTAGTAACTAGACGATGCAATATGCTCATCAACCGGTCTAGCAATATCAACATAAGGTTTCACTGTACTTGCACAATAATTAGTAGAAGTATGTAATGTAATGTATTTGTAAGTTGGACCTTGGGCCTGTAATAATGTAATTGCAGTGCAGAGTATTGATAGCTCTGTGTGTGTCGAGCAATAGGTCTTGATCTGTTTGGTCATGAACAGCAGTACGGTAGTAGAATAAACAAGAACAATATAACCGGCCCTAAAGGCCAGATGTTATATGATGGCAGAAACAATACGATTTATCAAATTTACAAATAGCTAGGGCAGAAAATTTGATTTAGCTGCAAGGTGTAGATGAAATAATCGTTACCTAAGCCCTGTTTCGGATTCTTAAAAATCAGTTTTTGGCTCTAATTTCTAAAATTTGGATTCTGAGAAAAAATTGGTGGGGTGTTTGGATCCCCAGTTTTTAAGAATCTGACTTCATTTATTGCTTTATGGTAACAAGAAACTAGCAAAAGCTGGGTGTCAACAGCTTTCTGTTTTTTAAGAATTTGACAAAAATTGATAGAAAAACTGCCTTGTTTGAATCCCATCCAATTCTAAAAGCTAAAAACCGGCAAAAACTGGAGGGATCAGGCCCCCTAGTCGACTTGCAAAACAAAAAAAAACATTGATGTAAAAATGCGCCAAACACCTGAGCACGTAACGTGCAACCCACAACAGT